CAGATCTGCCTTATTTGAATGCATACTGTTGGTTCCTCGCTTCTCAGGCAGACGCACTCATACTTCATAGGAGAAGCTCCCAGTTAGTCGACTCTTACGTTATTTTTTTCTGGGTAGGCGGTTGATCTATTCGTATTCCCGCCCGGCTCTCTAGAGTAGTTGGTTAAACCTGACATCGCGGTGACAAACTCCTTGTGGTCCGGGTTTACTCCCGGGGGTGTGCAGAAAAGCCACATTTCTTCCAGATTTACGGTACCTATCATGGAATCAAGGCCAAAGGGTTGCGATATTGATAGTACCGAGCCAAAGGGCTTACAACTCATGGATTCTAGATATTAATTTTTTTTTTTAATCGTATTCCCCTTACAATGGGGTCCCGGAACCCACTCGGGGAGATGACAGGTCAAATGTGGGGGACTGAATTCCATTCATATCGAAAACACTGCGCACTGCAGAACAAAATGGAGGAATAAACTTCGGCTCTGTGTGATTATAAAACGGCACAGCAAGATAATGATGTCGTAGCGTTTCTGTTTATGGGTTTTTCCTCCTGTCCTGAAACCAACCACAGACCACGCCATTTGACCCCGTGACCGGCCCTGAAAAGATAAGTAACATCTTTCCCCTACTTACACCAGGTCAATTTGTGTCTAAAAAGGGAGTCGGCTAAGCTGCAAAAAAGCACGCGAGGACGTCAGCCTGTCTAGATTAGAACCGCCCAAGTGTCGAGTGAGTACTCGCTAACACTTGATGCTCTTCCGTGGCCGGGCACATCAGGAAACCTGGCAAAGTGGGGACCGCTAAGTGCCAGGCACTCTCACCAAATGTGGCCAAAGATAAAGGGCGTGCAGCAGTCATTAAATTATAACACGTGAGATGTTCTACAATGGGATCCACGCAGACGTCCAAATTGGCAGCTCGTGTCTTATTGTGAATTGTTTCAGCAAGTTCCAGTCTTGGGAAAATTGGTTTCTGTGCGCCCTTTTGAGACAAAACAAGAACAGCCCCACTGCCCTCTAATCTTGTGTTGTCCAGACCAACGCCCCCCCCCCCCCCCCCCAAGTGTGAAAAAGCTGCCAGTTGGAGTGGTTGGGAGAGGGTTTTTAAAGTCAGAAAGCATATGCCCGTGAGAGGGGGAACCAACAGTCTGCAAATAAATAAGCCAGATCTGTAAAACTCATGTGCACTCAAAACTCAGGAATGAAAACTTCCGTGTGAATTTACAGCCGGTATACCCCAAGAAGCAGAAGCAGCAGGAGGAGGAGGAGGTAAAATCATTCACTAAACAAAACAACTTAATCACATTCTTTTCATTCTGTATTTACATGAATGATATGCCGAATAAAACACCAGTAAACAATAACAGCAGCCACAACTTCAAACAGTCTACACCGCTAGTCACAGATGGTATGTATAAAAGTAAAGGTAAAGTAGGGAGATGTGAACCATTATCATTGCACACGTTATAAACCATAATTGCTCTGCCACCAGTATGGACAGCTGATAAGAAACTGTCCGCCTGTGTGACGACTCCGTAGCTACAGCGATGTTCCTTCATTTACCCCAGAGTGTTAACTCTGGTACCCATTACCTAGAGGCTGGGTGAACCCCAGAAACCGCCCAGTGTAGAACACCGGCTGCGGGCTACAGAGAGTCGCAGCTGGATCTGCAAGCGAGTCTCCTATCAACTGCGCTAACACGGTTTAGTTAGGCGGCGTAACTGGGCTTTCATTCATGCTTTCTCACCCGTCACACAGGCTAGTCTATTCAACTTTTTCACAATGCTTCTTGTCAGGGAACAGCGGCCGTATCCCCCATCCCTCGTAGCCAAAATGATGTCCCCGGAGCCCACGCGTCTGGGAAAACAAATTATTATTTACAGACATAGAAACTGCATCATATATCAAGATATAAATGAACAGTTCCTTTACAATCATTTAGTATATGCAGCATCATTTAAGTTTATAGAGATAACAAAAATCAACAAATTTATGAATAACATCCAGTCTACATAAGAGATACATGTTACATCAACAACATAATGCCAGCATAAGTGATAAAACAACACACACAGAGGATATACTCCATAATGAATGCTCTAGATCAGTGTGTTTCAACTGGTGGTCTGCAGACCCCTAGTGCTCTGGCAAAATGTTATGTCTAACCATGAAGCAGCTATATGATTCCAGGACTACAGTGATGTATGACTTGCCCAACTTCTAAGCAGCAGCAGCAGATGTCACATTAGCTGAAAATGGTCAGTTTGTGACATCAGATTGAACCAATAAAAAACTATCTACATTTTTGTTGTTGTGTGGTTAGCTGGCAGGTGGTCCGCAAAAGAAGAAGCACAAGGGGACAGCAATGCTCTGAACTATCAAGAATACTGCCAGCAGAACAGACCAGACCTTTACTGGCTACAGTGAGAATAACGACTTACAACTAACAAAAATTTTAACAAGAACATAATTAAAACCATGTCATGGAATTACACAATAAATTGGCATTGGATATTTAACTTATGCATATAAAACAAAACAAAAACATCTTATACACTGGAAATACTTTTGAACATTTAAAAAAATAACCCATATTGACAAATCACTGGGACAGTGTAAACGATCTTTTCTACAGCAGGGGCAAACAGGCATTTGATGCCACTCATATTTTCACAGACAAGTCGGCACTCTGTGGGTGATGTGGACAACATTCTCCCAGCAGCCTGTCCTTCCCAGGACAGTATCTGGTAAACACTTTGTGTTGGGTCAACCTGCAGCCAAGGTTAGTTTTGAAAAAATCCACCTTGATGTGGCTATGAACCCAAGACCTTCAGGGCTTCAGGTGAATGTCTCGCCACTATGCATGCATCTGCGGTCTCCATGAACAAGTGTATTCACTGTAAATACTGACATGCATATGTATGGAGGGACTGCTTTCCTAGCCGCTAATGGCTCTAGATTTGAACATCATTATAAAGTCAAAAATAGAGATGTCTGAGAAAAACGTATGATTATAGTAGAAGAGGAAAGGCTATACATAAATAAATGGAATACAAAAGTTTAAACAAGTCTGTAAGCTATATCTACAACCCAGGTTAGAAGATAAATGTTTAAGCAAGACTGTGCGATAACTCTGCAACCCAGGGTAGAAGATGAAAGTTTAAACAAGACTGTACAATATCTCCACAACCCAGGGTAGAAGATGACAGTTTAAACAAGACTGTAAAGTATCTAAATGAGTGCCAGTTTGTAAGTGGTCAATGTGTTTATTGAATTATTAATATATTCATACAATATACATGTGTGTGTGTGGCTGGCCATCTGACATGCTCGTGTCTCTACACAGCTTAGTTTCCCAATTATTTTAAAATCGAAATGAACAAGCTGATGTCTGGCCACGTGATGATGGTAGAATGCCCTATAAATGTGTCTCTCTGTCAGCCTTGATCTCCTTCATCATTTATCTTTTTTGGTTGTTGAAATATATGCCAGTTTGATCTTTGCTGTCACAATTTTAACATGGTCTGCCTCCTAAGTCTTTTTCAGAACACAGTTACTCAATTGGATAAATTTGAAAACTTGCATTAATTGTACAAGTAACTATAGTCACTTAACCTTTTTACACCAGTGGGTACTTGATGCCAGACTCAGGCGAGTATACAAGCTTGCCAGAGGTCAGAAGGAGTGTGAGTGCACATGACAGAGGCTGGTGCAAAATATTCAGGCCACTTAAAGTCTGTGAAACAGGTACTGCTTGAAATTAACTGTAGCCAACCCAACACCGGCATTGCGAGGAGAGTGTAACTGACCGCTGATGGAAAACCCTGAGGTAGTTTGATTCAGTAGCTCTTAGTAAGTGAGATGGAGCGGGCATATGTAGTACGTGAAATTTGTTCTTAGCAGTGTGTTTTATTCTGTTGAAGCACTTGGGCTGTCCATTAGAATTCTACAGTCTACCCATGATGGTAGATGTGTGAGATATGACGGCGAGATCTAGATACTTGATCTGACCACCGCGTGACTTGTTTGCTTATATTTCAAAGAGTATTGGTCAGTGCTAGTGGCTGTATATGTAACCTTATGAGTATTTGTTAGCAGTACTATTCTGTATGCACCCCCACAAGCCAGCCTGGTACATACAGCAGTATTTGCTATTATAGGCTATGGGTGACCCCAGTAGCGGGCACACAGACAAATGCGTCTGTGTTACGGACTCGTGTCAAGTCAAGGCTAGTGCCCCATTCTGAGATGGTGCTGGCTTTGGAGTCTGTCAGGCTGTGTACCTGGTAGTAATTACAGATAAGCAGTGTTTAATCACTGATCACCAATTCTTCATCATAATGTGTTCATCCATTAACGAGACTGACTGCACTATCACAGCATATTTGGAGTAATATAAAATAGTGCTCTTGGGCAGTGTTAACAGTTAGATACAACCTGTCACTTGTATTTGGCTTCTTGTGGTGTTCCTGTTGTCGCTGACCTTTTTGCTCTGCTGTAGGAATCCAACAGGTTTTTTTTTTAAGGACCCTGTGTGTGTGACTGAAGTATAATCATACCCTAGATACTTTTGCCTAGTGTGCAATGCTTCTTCCCCATATCACATACTCCAATTTTCCAGAGTAATACCTGATACCCATTTGAGGCTAAACTGACCCTGAAACCAATGTCAATTCTGAACCAAATTTGCCTCGCATATTTTAACTCCAAACTTTTGGGCAAGCAGGCTAGCATCTAGCCTCTACGCTACTGCAACTGCCACCTGGCCTAACTGCTTAACTTAAGGTACAAAAGTTTCACATATTAACTGGCAAGTATCACACATTTTTTAAAACCCAAATCAATAATAACCAGATTTTTAACCACTTTCATTCCATAGGTAAAATATTGTACTAGCTAACTCAATGAGCTGACTGGAGATGACTTTATGATGCAAAAATGCATGATGATGTCTAGATTTAATAAAATGCGTACGAAGCAAACAAACATGTCTAATGATGTCTAGAGGTCATCCTGGGAAGTAGGCTCTGGCACAACATATCTGGGGCCATTAATCTGAAACAGATGAGTCAAGTCATGTTTGATAATTTTTGTAAGTAAAAGGATCCATTATTTTGAGATCAGACAAATGAGGCTAGACTCATTTCGTTTTTTTGTTAATAGATCAACAGCACACAATAAATGATATGGTCAGTATCACGCCATTCCCCTTTACTTCCCAAGTAATGACCTGGTACCCTTTTTAGACTGGGTCAACCTGGCAGCGAGAGTCACTTCTGAAAAAAATAAACTCTGCTTGAATGTGGATTTGAATTCTAGACCATCAGGCAAGAATCTATCCACTATGCTCTGTCGGCTCCATATCTTTTATTAAACAAAACAAAAATTGTGAACTGAAGCTGCAATTTCAAATTAATTAATCTGAATTAGCAAAAACAATAAAACGTACAAATTATCTACATGACAACGCACTATTAAAATACATACAGATTATAAATATATGTGAAAATATGCGATATTTCATCGACACTTTTCCATCTTTCAGTATGATAGTGTTATACTGAACAACAGGAAGCCATGGGAACAACAGCCAATTAAGGCCGACAAAGGTCCTCCTCTCCATTATATCCCAGGGTAGAAGAGAAAAAAATAAACAAGACTGTATGATGACTTTAAATCCTAGGGTAGAAGACAAGGAATTAACAAGACTGTATGATAACTTTACATCCCAAGGTAGAAGTGAAAGAATAAACAAGACTTTATGATAACTTCACATCCCAGGTTAGAAGAGAAGCAATAAACAAGGTTGTATGATAACTTTACATCCAAGGATAGAAAAGAAAGAATAAACAAGACTGTATGATAACTTTACATCCCAAGGTAGAAGTGAATGAATAAACAAGACTGTATGATAACTTTACATCCCAAGGTAGACGTGAATGAATAAACGAGGCTGTATGATAACTTTACATCCCAGGTTAGAAAAGAAGCAATAAACAAGGTTGTATGATAACTTTACATCCAAGGATAGAAGAGAAAGAATAAACAAGACTATATGATAACTTCACATCCCAGGGTCGAAGTAAAGGAATAAACAAGGCTGTATGATTACTTTACATCTCAGGGTGGAAGAGAAGGAATAAGCAAGACTGTATGACAACTTTATATCCCAGGGTAGAAGAGAAGGAATAAACAAGACTGTATGATAACTTTACATCCCAGGGTAGAAGAGAAGGAATAAGCAAGACTGTATGACAACTTTATATCCCAGGGTAGAAGAGAAGGAATAAACAAGACTGTATGACAACTTTACACCACAGGGTGGAAGAGAAGGATTAAACAAGGCTGTATGATAACTTTATATTCCAGGGTGAAAGAGAAAGAATAAACAAGAGTGTATGATAACTTTATATCCCAGGGTAGAAGAGAAGGAATAAACAAGACTGTAAGAAAACTTAACATGCCCATATAAAAGAGAAGGAATAAATAAGACTTATGATAACTTTACATTCCAGGGTAGAAGAGAAGAAATACACAAGACTGTTTGCTAAATTTATATCCCAGCATAGAAGAGGAACGACTAAACATGATTTAACCCTCTTAGCACGGACGGGCCGATTATCGGCCGGCGGATGTCTAGCCAAAAACACGGAACGGCCGATGATCGGCCCGATCGTGTTTCGCCTCGAACCGCTAAGAAATCTCCTACTTTGAAACACTGAAAGTGATTCATTTATATTAACTGCGGTATCAGCTTTACACATGGCGACTTTCGAGTGTTTGGTATCGAAGTGAAAATTGTTGTTGAATTTTTTAGATAGTGACCTGAACCGCTAAAAGTATGTCTGACTCGTATGTTTCTGCCCCTAAACTTGATGTTGATAAAACATTTGAATCAAGTGATGACACTAATTCTGTTGATACTGATGCAGGATTTAGTGTTAGTAGTAATAGTTGGAATCAGATGGGGACGCTGTTGTGTTCAGACCACAGCCCAACCATGGCTCAGGGTATATCCACCCGAAGGTGTTGACACTCCGGCACATCCATTTCTAGTGCTGACTGATGGTGAAAAACACATGTCACCTACAGATATTATTGCTGTTTCACATATATATACCTGTTTTTGACTATTGAATTGCTTACAACATTTGTAAAAAGGCCAAAGATCATTAAAAAGATTTCAAATAAAAAAAATTTTTGTTTTTAGTTTTATGTTTCAAGCATTGAAGTTGAAAATTCAAATTCATATTTTTTATTTTTAGATATGCAAATGAGATAATTTGCATATACATCAATTAATTTTAACGATATTGTGAAAATATCGAACTTCAATCTATATCCTTCAAATAGATATATTATTTCATAGGGGTCAGAATAACAGAAATCTGTCAACAAAATTAAATAAAGTAATAACCAAATTCACTGAAAAAATGCTCCGTGTTTTTGGCTAGACCTCTGAAAAACTTCCCGTGCTAAAAGGGTTAAAGCATCCTTTGCATACTCACTTTGATATCGTACTCCTGAACAAACTGTGGAACATCAATTTGGTCTGGGTTGATCTTGGTAAACAAAAACTGAACACCTCGCAGGTTGTGAACTTTCCTCTTCAAGTCCGATGCTGTAAAGGTGGTGAAGAACCAGGTAGCCAGCTGCAACAAAGTCAATGAGCATAGCAACAGTCAGTTGTATTGACATTCTTCTTATCTTCTTTCTCTTTCCTTCTTTTCTTCTTCTGTGTTCATCTTTAGAAGGGAAGTTAAACAGAGAAATAAGCTCGAGATGTGCCAAAGCTAATAAAGTAATGGGGCAACAATCTCCCCTGTTGACACACAAGCAGATACCCCTGAGTACTAAAGTTAATCTTATCAGAACTATTTTTTGGCCAACACTATGCTATCAGTGCCAAACGTGGACACTTACATCCTCCAATGAACATAAAATTGTGACATCAGAAATGAAATGCCTTTGAAGAGCTGCAGGAGTTTCAAGGAAAGACAGAATACGACTTCAGAAGAATGCTAGGAATTATAGCCAGTCTTACAGGTCATCAAAGAACAACAAATGAAGTGGTTTAGACACCTAACAAAAATGCCCTGGTACTATCTGCCATATCGAGCCACACTAAAACGTTACAACGGGTATAGAGCGAGTGGAACTCCGCTAAGACCGGTCCCAAGCCCGGCTGTAAAAGGAGGAGGGTCTGGCTGAACCTGAGTGCTTCATGCGTCTCCGGAAGTAGTGGGTAACCGTGAATCAGCCAGACGGCCTGCATGGAGGCCGCAAGGAGGCAGCCCCTCCACCATGCAAAGGCACAACAGGCCAATCACCTGTTTGCCTTAAACCACGATTACAAGTAACTACAGAGAGAAAACCGGACGGATCTTAACGGCGACGAACTGGCATGGCTTACGGACTACGATTTATGGAACATGGAATATAAGAGGCATTAACGGAAAGGAAAACGAGTTAGTAGGGGAGATGAGGAAAGCAAAATTAGGAGTCTTGGCTCTGACTGAAACCAAGAAAAAGGGGCAAGGAATCACAGATCACGATGGAAGTATGCTGCTCTACAGTGGTGTCCCTATGACGGAGAGAGCCAAGGGAGGTGTTGGCTGTATTGTGGCCAGGAATCAAGTTAGTAACATCAAGGGATGGAAATTCATCTCAGAGCGAATAATGGTGTTAGATCTGAAAGAAGAAGATAAAATTGTCAATTTTGTCATTGTGTACGGGCCAAATGAAGATGAGCGAGTAGATGTTAAAGAAGAATTCTTTGAACTGCTCCAAAAGACCATAGATGACTGTCACGATGAAATTATCCTCCTAGGAGATCTAAATGCCAGAGTAGGAAATGATCACTCTAGATGGGGTGGAGTGATCGGGAGATATGGTGAAGATGTTTTGAATGATAATGGCAAGCGACTTCTCAGATTCTGCAGGGAACAGAACCTTGTCATTACAAACACAAAATTCCCCCACAAGCGTATACATGCATACACAAGATGTGAACCTTCAAAGAATGAAAAATCCATCATTGACTACGCCATAGTTAGGAAAAGTTCATTCAAGTTTGTGAGAGATGCCAGAGTCATGAGAGGACCAGAGATTGGAAGTGACCACTATCTGGTCACAATAAAGAGAACAACTGAAAGAACTGCTCCAACAAGGCAACACCGACAACTATGCAAGAAACCAAGCAACCAAGAAGGGATGAGGATTAAAGCATACAAGCTAAGAGAGCCAGATATTAAGGCTAGATACCAGGAGCTTATAGTGAAAGCAATAGGAACTGAAGAAGAATCATCAGAGGACACTGAAACTCTCTGGTGCAGATTCAAGAATATCCTCACAGCAGCTGCAGTAGAAGCATGTGGTGAAGTCCCAAGTGGAAGGCGGGGACACAGGACACCTTGGTGGACAGAAGAAGTCAAATTGAAAATAGGAGAAAAGAAAAGGGCATGGAAGCAATACCTGGCAGCCAGGAACACAGCTGAAGAAATAGAAAAATATAAACAATATGTGGCACTCAGAACAGAGACCAAAAATATTGTGCTTAAAGCAAAACAGAAATCATGGGAAGAGTTTGGAGAAAAGTTGGAAAAGAATGCAAGAGAAAACCAAAAACTGTTCTACAAGACCCTTAAGAACATGAGGAAGGAGAAAGAGTGCCCACTTAAATTTATAAAAGACAAGGAAGGGGCTCTGCTTACTTCTACAAATGATATCATGGGCAGATGGAAAGAATACTTCTCAGAGCTCCTCGGCGCTGAGGGAAGTCATGACCCAGAAATAATGGACCTCACTGCTGAGAAGGAATTCAATCATGGGGAAGATAACATCAGGATGGAAGAATTGAAGGCAGCTATTGAGAAGATTAAGCTGGGAAAAGCAGCAGGTCATGATGGTATAACACCAGAGATGGTCAAATATATGGGAGTCGAAGGTGAGCGCCTTCTACTGAAGGTTCTCCAGGCAGCCTGGTGTAGCAAAACTATACCAAAAGATTGGGAGATTGCCATCATTATACCTATATTTAAAAAAGGTGATAACAGACAATGTGAAAACCACAGAGGCATATCCCTCCTCAGCATTCCCGGTAAAAGTTACTCTAGAATTCTTGAGCAGAGACTTAGAAGTCTGGTAGAGCCACAGCTGGACGAGGCCCAGTGCGGCTTCAGAGCAAACCGAAGTACCCAAGACCTTATCTTCACACTGAGACAGATGAGTGAAAAAGCCCTGGAATATAAGAGTGAGATTCACTTATGTTTTTTGGATCTGGAAAAGGCATTTGACAAGGTACCCTGGAACAAGCTCTGGGACTGCTTGGCAGGGAAAAACATCCCAGCACCCCTGATCGGTGCAATACAGAGTTTCTACAAAAAGTGCAGAAATTATGTAAGAACAGCAGACCAAAAGTCAGAAGAATTTAAGACCACCAGCGGTGTTAGACAAGGTGATATTCTCTCACCTTACCTCTTCATTCTTATGATGGATGATGTCATCAAGACCTGTAAGGAGAAGACAAAGAAGTACTCTGTAGGGTACTGGAAGATGAGACCAATCTGTATATCAGAGCTGGCTTTTGCAGACGATGTGGCCCTGATAGCTAAATCAGAGGCACACCTTCAGTCCAACTTACTTGTCTGGAAGGAAGAGCTTGAAAAGAAAGGGATGACCATCAGTGTCTCCAAAACTAAAACCATGGTGATCTCAAGAGAGGAGAAGAAACACCAGATCATGATGGGTCAGTATGCGTTGGAGCAGGTTAACCAGTTCAAATACCTTGGAGTTGTATTAGACCAAAATGGAGGCATTAAGACTGAGCTGGCTACACGAAAAGCAGCTGCTGGGAGACTCTTCCAGGCCATAAAACCGAGGGTTTCTTAGCAAAAGAGAAATTGGCAAGAGAACGAAAATGGCTGTTTACCGCTCTACCTATGTACCAGTCCTGACCTATGGGTGTGAGTCATGGGCAATGACAACAGCTCACAGAAGCCAGCTGCAGGCCTCGGAAATGAGATACCTGAGAAAGGTGGTCCAAGTGACAAGAAGGGACAAAGTCCGCAATCAGACAATACGTCAAGATCTTGATACCCAGCCCTTACTAACCCGAGTGGATCAGTCACAGTTACGATGGTTTGGACATGTGTGCAGAATGGGAGAAAATCGGCCACCATGGCAAGCATGGGAGGCTAAGAACCAGGGAACCAGACCTCCGGGACGACCCAGGGTGCGCTGGGAAGACAACATCCGACAGTCCCTGACTGACAGAGGACTGGAATGGAACAAAGCCAGAAAGAAAACTGCTGATAGAGACGTCTGGCGATCTCTCTGGCAAACCTCTACACCCCAAGGTAGAAGAGGAGCGACTAAGTAAGTAAGTATAGAGCGAGTGGAAGACCACGGAAAACATGGAGTGATGGCATTAAAAACAGCCTTACAGAAATGAACATCAGTCTTAATAGTGCTCTTGACAGAGCTCATCAACGAATGTTACATCTCACCCCGACACTTCGATGAGGTACAAGGTGGAAGAGAAGAAGAAGAAGAAGAAGAAAAAGAAGTTAACCCATTATGCTGTGGTTTAACACATAACTCCTAATCATTTTCCTCTTATGACATGCTTGTCAGACAGCAGTGGTCTATTATCCCCCAAAATAGGGCCCTGGAACCCACACGAGAAGGCACTGACAACCCAGCATTGGATAAAGCCCGCCAGTAAATCTGCATACAAATAAGTCAGATGTGTAAAATACACGCAACACTCAGGTTCTGGAGCAAGAACAAGTTGGATGAACAACTAGAACTTTCTGCTGGACTTTACAGTTAGTGAACGCAAAGAAGAAGAATTAATATCAACAGACTACCCACCTTTGACCACCATGTTGGATGTATAATATAAAACTGCTTCAAGTTTTTCTTGTATCTGAAAATCATTGAGCAAAAATAAAAAAAATGTACACACTGGGGGATTTTTAATTCATATGTAACATACAAAAGGCATATTACAAAGGAACAAATTTGAAAAACTTTGTTTTTAAAGAGTTACAAATTAGGCATGTGGACCTGTCTTATATTTAGCCCTTCCAGGCATTCATTTATTACATAGCAATGGTATTTTATCTATAAATGTTCCGGAATCAATATGCATAATTTGAATATAAGAAAAAAAAGAGAAAAGAATATTGTACCAAAAGATTAAGAGAAAAGAGCAAGAGGTGAACCAAGAACAACATGAGAAAATAATATCAGAGAAACTCAACAACAGAATAATGTGTCTATGGTCGAGGTGGCCAGAACAGTAAGAACAAGATCCTTATAGCTCTCTCAACATCTGAAGTGGTAAAAGAGAAAGTGAAGAAGAAGAAGAAGGACATAATTATAGATTATAATTTTTTTCTTTTTCAATGCAGTATGTAACTACAGATTTACACCCCACATTTCATATACCTACAGACTACAACTCATTTATTTACATATCTCGATATGTCAACTGATCTTCACCCCTTACTTAAAAAATCTACATATCACATACCTCATAATCTAAAAATCCTCACACCCCCACCCCACTTCACATATGAGACACGTTTTTTAACTCTTTGAGTCCCAAGGAACGCATCATACGTTCATAGGTTCCTACCTAGAAGCCCAATGAACGCAAGATGCGCAGATTTTACGTCTCACTTGACTACCCCTTGAGCCTGTGATGCTAAATCCCCTGGGACTCAAAGAGTTAAAGTGTGGCTAAAAGTGATTTATAATGAGTGCAAAAACAAATACCCTCACCAGCTGCGAGGTTCATGTTGTAATCTGTTGTTTCCTTTTTTTTTAAAGACAACAGTGTAGCAGAAGTTTGCAGGCAACTCATTGAGGTTTATAGGTTAGATGTGATGACTGATAGTATGGTTAGGAAATGGTGTCGAATGTTTAAAGAAGGATGAACAAATATTCATGATGAAGGTTGTAGCTGTTGCCTGAGTGTGGTGACATACGATTTTGTAAAATAAAATGAACCCAAAAATTCAGGAAAATCATTTCACAATTTCTGAGCTGTCTGTCAAATTTTTGGAAGTTTCATGTTTACTGATTTACTACACGGTGTCAAGAAACCTTAGATTTAAAAAAAAAATGTGCGCCAGATGGGTACTGAAAATGTTAACCGATGAGCACAAGCAGAAACGCCTGGCTTCAGCTCAATAATTTTTGCTGCGCTAAAAAAAAAGAAGGAGATGAATTTTGGGGGCACACTGCTACTGGAGATGAGACCTGGATTTCCTTCAAAAACATCAAATCAAAGCAGCCCCGATCTGGCACCGAGTAAATACCACCTTTTCATACACCTAAAGAAGTGGCTGGCATCCCATCACTATCAAACTGATGATGAAATGCAGACAGTTCACGATGATGACTGATAATGAATGGTTCAAGACACTGGCGGCAGACTTCTGTGACATTGTAATTAAGAAGCTGGTGCCACGATACCAAAAATGTGTTGAAGTCAATGATAACTATGTTGAGAAATAATTTAAATGTGTGGTTCACTTTTGGCTGCAATAAATCATTTTTATGTATGATGGTTTTTATTTTACATTTTATACCAGGAATTATTTAAAAAATGTTCCTCGTACCTACATATCTTCTCCTAAAAAATCATATGGCTACACATGTTCTCTGCACACCTTTTATGGCCACATATCTTCTAACATGTCTCATATGACTACATACCTTCTTCAACACCTTGTATGGCTACACAGTTTCTCCCCACACTTCATACAGCTATATATTTTCTCCCTAAACATTATCTGGCTATATACTTTCTTCCCACACTTCATAAGGCTACAAATCTTCTCCCAAGCCTCAGATGGCTGCATATTTTCTCCTCAAATCTTATATGGCTTCATACTTTCTCCCCACACTTCATATGGCTACGAATCTTCTCCCAGGCCTCATATGCTACACATCTTTTCCCCATACCTCAAAGAGCTAAAAATCTTATCCCTAAACCCCACGCACCTAAATAAATTCTTCCCACATTTTATATGGCTAAATATTTTCTTCCTACATAATTTATATCACTATCTTCTCCCCCACACAAATTATATGGCTACATATCTTCTCCCCACACACTTTATATAGCTAAATATCTTCTCCTTACAACTTTTTTGGTTATATTATTTTCTCCACACACTGCATATAGCCACAAATCTTCTCTTATATGACCACATATTTTCTCTCCACACCTCATATGGCTACATATATTATACATTCTATAACTGGCCACACGACAGGAGATGGCTCTGTCTCTCAAATGGATTCTTCTACCAGTTTTCACAGCTGGACCTTGAAGCTTTCAAACATTCTGTAAATGTTGCCAGCCCACGCTAGAAAAGAAACTGCTGATCAACTACTGTACCCCTGCCCCCAAGATTGTGTGTTATGTTTGTTCCTTTCTATAAGACGTTTTAGGGTTAATTATTAGGGGATGTCTGACTTTTTAATCATGCAGAAAAATGGGTATTTACAAATACTTAATATTGATTTATATTATTATTTATTTAAAGCATTAATGTCAATGATAATATTTATTTATATATTACTTTATAAACAATATGTCCTTTGTGCAATTCAAGAGCTAAATAAAATCCATATGTCATATGTATCTATCGATCAGTCTGGCTGACATTCCTAACTAGAGTTTATATTAGGTGTAAGGTTTATATAGCGAGCTTCCTGAAAAATGCTAGGAGAGATCTTATTTTGGAGAAGTACTTTCAACAAGCCAGTAATACAAAACCTGAAGGTTAGAGTCACCTTTGGTCCAGTAAACTGTAGGCCATCTTCAGGTACGCCATGGCAGGATGATTCTGATCAGTTGTCTGTGTGTGGAAGTAGACAACAACGTAGTCACTCTCCACGACAGGGTCCATGACTCGGATCAGGTACAAGAGGATCTGATAGCAGATGTTTCAAACAAGTCTATTATAGATGTGCCATCAATAGATACAAGAAACAACAACAAAATAGTAGCATCAGTGAGTGCATTCACCTCAAGGATTCCAGGGGCACCGTTCTGGGAGGAAGCAGAACCAACTGCCCCGCAACAAATGTGCTGTAAAATAAAAGTCGACTAATTAGGGGTGTCTCCCTCGAGGTCAGGCTGCATCTACCTGAGAGGTGAGGAACCAACAATCTGCACAGAAATAAGCCAGATCTGTCAAATGGCTGTGTACATAAAACTCAAGTTCTGAAACAAGAATCAAAGTCCAGAAGTTGTCAATCAGAACTTTCTGCACTAGTTTACAGCCGGTGAAAGTGAAGATGATGATGATGAAGAAGAAGAAGAAGAAGAAGGAGGAGGAGGAGCAGCAGTAGGAGAAGCAGCAGGAGCAGGAGGAGAAAAAGAGGAAGAAGTAGCTGCACAGCAGAAACAGCAAACTGATACATGTGATCAAATGTATATGACAAACATCTGCATTATAACATAAATATAAAAAAAATATAGCTGAAACATTAATATACACACATTTCAACTAGTCTTATAAAAGTATAAAACAAAGAGAATCTTTCAACTTTCACAAACCAAAATGTTTTCTCAAATTCATCTTTGTTCTTCTTTTCTCTAATCCATATTTTGCCTTTTAGCGTGAGGTTTTGTAGAGGTATTAGTGATATATGTCCAATTATTGGATTTGCTGTATTAGATCTGTAATTATATCTCTGCTTCTATTTTCTTTACTGTATCAAATTATGTTTCCTAGATACTTGAGTGTTTTGCTTGCTTGTTGGTTGTCTATGCATACCTTGACTGGCTGTTCTATTCTTGCAATGGCCATACCTTTTTTTTTTTTAAATGTTAATGTTCATATTTTGTGCTGTTGCTATGCTGAGATCATTTTCATAAGTAAAAAGTTGTGAAAAATTATAATAGCTGATAAAAACATTACAATGGATGAATCATTATTTCTACTATTTCATCACTAACTGATGACCTTCACATTGACTACATACTTTTTCTGGGTTGGTGGTGAGTGCTGGGTAATTCCTGCCTACAAATACAACGATTGGACGCCCCAGCCTGTCCACCCCAGCTCGATACAGACAATGAAGACCAGCTATTTCTGTCAAATCTGCATTTTTGGCTTTTTTAAGCAAACCTTCATACCTGTCATTATGTGAACAAGTTAAAAACAAAAAAAAATATATTCTCACATATCTAGTCAAGTCAATGGTTGAATAAATAAACATCAAAATTATTTCCAAATTTTTTATTACGTGAACAATTAACTGAAGAAACAACAAATATATGCTGAATTTTTTTTTTATAAACAAGGTCAGTGGTTAGGGAAACAGCAAACAAATATACACCCAAATTTATAATCAGGTCAAAGGTCAAAGTAATGTCCAAAACTGCCATAGGAATGTAATGCTAATTGATCTTTACATATGTTATTTTCCAGCAATATGACATGAAGGGACCAAGTCCATTTCTTGCATTTTGTTTCTCTTCACAGTAATCATTTTTATATCTACAGCTGCAAACTGAGTCAGTGTCTGAACTGTGAGGAAGAACTGAAGATTCTTCACTGCTGGGGATTACACCAGTAGCACTGAGTTGGTGGGACAATGGATTATCCAATACATATTACCAGGACTTTCTAGTCTCCCCAGACAATGTCCTCACTAGTGGGTTTGGTGTTGCCTGAGAGACCTGGAGTTGACCTCCCAGTATATGGCCCACAGTAGATTATGCACTAGACTAGAGATCACTGAAGAAGGTAATGCTATGAGACATGAGGCTGTGGAAAATGTGACAACTGAAAAGATCAAAGGTAACAAAGGTTGACAGAGGAAGAAAATATGGGAAGACAAAGGGGTGAGGAAGACAATCAGCAGTGAAACATAGTAAGGATAAAGAAAAGTAGAAGTCTGTGGAACAACATGTTTGTTGCACCACAATCAAAATTCTATAATTTATCATTGAAGACCATTAATGGAACTTCAAATCTTCATGGAAGCACATTAGGTTATAACCAGGTTACGATTCAGGACAGATCACAATGGTCAGCTGGGAACAGGTCAAGCTGGTTATGTTTCTTGTACAGAGTTTAGACATTTCATTTTCAACAGATTCCAAGATTTCAGGCAGAAAGAGAACAGTGAGATAAAACACATATCCTGTCTGGGTTCCAGGGACTCATTTTATAGGGAAAAGAGACTCAAACCACTGCTCTTTGACACGTAAGAAAGGTGACTAATTAAGGGTTTGCTGAAATCGGATGTGTCGGCCCAGAAGTATAGATATCACAGGATAAATGTAAACCACTTCACAGCACGGCAAACAATCTTTTTATGGGCTAATAAAAAAGAAGAAGATGATGAAAGATATTTCGAAAGAAGAAAAAAAGATAAAAGGTAATAATTGTTAGTGCCATCTCTCATTCTCCTCTTCTTCTCTGTTCACCAGCAGTAAGCTCTGGCGGACAGTCCTGGTTGTCCGTCCATCTGGATTTTGGCTCCTACCAGGGCTAGAGTTTTGTTTGTACATCCATTTTACTGGCTTATTTATGTGCAGCTGATGGTTCCTTGCCTCTCTGGCGAATACACTCTGACTTCGAAGGAAGCCCTAAATTATTCAACTATTATGACATTTTCGTTGGGTAGGCAGTTGGGTAGTGGTATTTTCTTGTTTTCCAACAATGGGGCCCTGGAACCCAAACAGGGATATCTCTAATTCTATGACAGAACATTTCATTGTTACCTTCTCCTGGTTTCTAAATTCTTTTGTTCAATGGCCGCCGTCTGCAACATTTTAGTGGCCTTTAACTTATCAGGATCCTCCTCCATATTGGCAAAAGGGTGATGCCCAACATCGATAGCCATTGACTGGGCAAACTCTTTGTTCAGGTCAGTCGTCTGATCAATGTCATCACCTCCTCGACCTCGGTAACCAAGACAACAAAGCGCAAGGAGGTTACAAAGATAAAAGTTATAAACAACAGCTTTATAAAGTTCATGATTAAAAGTTCAATGTTAATGAGGTTAAGATTACAAAGTTACAGCTTCAGTTCAATGAAGATGATTCTTTGTTTGATGTTCTTTTTCTCCTATGAAATTAGATTAGCTTCCAAGAGGAAACAGAAAGAGAAAGAAAGAGAGAAAGAGAGTGGGAGATTGGGGTAGAACAAGTTAGAGCGACAAATGTCTCTCATTAACAAAGAAATACATAGGTATCTTGTAAATTTAGCAGTGCAGTCCAGTGACTACAAGGTAAGTGAATGCAGTTCACAACTTCATGACCCCCTTGATATATCAAGGTTCAATTCCTGCAGTACACTGTTTATTTACATTTATGTTCTATAGCCGTTCTTGTGGTGTCTGGACAATAGTTTAAAAGGTGTACAGTGGAAAATACTGAGGCCTCACCACAGTCAGCAATGTGTGCACTGCCGCCAACCTTCACTGTGAAGATGGCACACAAACTAAATATAGCATAAATACCTGCAAATCTACTTCTATCTGTTATTCCTGTTAAATGATATAATGTAGATGAAAACAGACACTGTGGTGTTGTGCTTCTTTCTACTTCAGCATTTTCTTTCTCAAAACAGAACAGGCCCTAAATCAACTCATGTCGAGCACTAAGTGAAACTGTTCATGTCTGGTTAGGTTGTGCAGACAAAGTTTTATTGATGTATATAAAATTACAATGTGTCAGTTGATAACTATCTATTTTACATGAACATGTGATGAAGTCTAATCCTTTTTAATGAAATACATAAATCATATTTGTCCTCAAATCATCTACTGGTAGTGAAGTGATTTTTTAATATCACAATAGGCAAATAGTTTTCTCCAAGTATTATTCACTAAAATGGCAATAATTTATATTATAAAAATCCATGGGGACAAGGAAACAAAACACCCAGTAAAGAACTATTAGAGGTATGCACGGACATTTGATGAGATTTATCCTGGGCTAAAGAATATTGTCGAGAACATGAAAAAGTAGCGAGAAATGGGTGAATGATATCAATATGTTGATGATGGTGATGACAATGATGATGAATGTTTAGAAACCTGACTTACTCAATGGCTTGTCAATAATTCTAATCTGTCGTTCTTTAATGACTGGTTCACCATCCTCATTCCCAATGTCACTAGGTAAAAAATCAAATGCCTCGTCTTCCTCACTCGAGTTGCGTGGAAAGTATAATGGTAAAATCTGGCGATAAACTTCCTGGGGATGAGATAAAGACATTTCGACTCTAGCCATCATATATGGCTGTGGCTGTCAATGACAAAGAAAAACAACTAGCCGCCCCAACATGGGATGCAGTTTTTTCGTTAATTGAAAGCCCCACTCCAGCTCTTGTTGGGAGCCCTAATATAACCTAACAGTTGAACAGGGTTTCTGGGACTTGTCCCGGGTGATTCTCTTTAGAATGGTGGTACTGTGTCACCGCATATTTATTACTCATTGTGCGGTCCTGGTGGGTTGAACTTCATTCACTCAACAAAAAACTGTCACAAAAGTATAATGTAGAATATCTCAGTGATCCAGAAATCAAGGATGAATTTTCAGTTACAGTTGTCAGTAAATATTCAATCTTCTAACAGCTATTTGAGGAGGTAAACATTGAAGAATTGGCAACAGGGTAAAGGGAATTTCAAATGAATCTTGTGTAGAAGTCACTGTTAAAAGCAAATGGAAACATAAGGCAGGAATAATGCCCCAAAACCTTATCAAACTAAAAGGTAAAGCAAATAGGCAGGCTTAAACAATAGCAAAACTAGCGCTGCTGAAATCAGAGCTCATGAAAAATATGCCGAAGCTAGTAATGATGTTAGGAAGCAAACAGGGGTGGCTACAAGTAAATATTTCGATGACTTCACAGACAAAGCAAAGACATCAGCAACAAACAGATACCTCAAAGGTCGTCACAGTAGCACAAGGTGCTACAGGGAGGTATGGGAAACACAACCCACGGCAAAGGCAAGTGTGCAGAACACATGTTGCCTGTGCAGCATCATCTAGACTCTATGGCAGCGGTTCTCAACCTGCAGGTCACAACCCTTTTTTGGGTCGAAATGACCCTATCACAAGGGTCACCTAAGACCTTCGGAAAACACATATTCATTGAAGCTATGAAGGAAAATAATTGTTTAGGGGTCGCCACAACATGAGGGAACTGTATTAAAGGGTCGCAGCATAAGGAAGGTTGAGAGCCACTGTTCTATGGCATGGTACTTGTCGTCTGCTGACTGGGTGGCATTTCATTTTAGCCTGTTCACAGATGAGTGTTGCTTCTCTGGATGACACGCTTTGTTTCATGGATGGTATTTCTGATTTAGTCATATTCAAATCAGTTGTACTGTTCAATTGTTGGATAAAGAACACTAACAATAACATGAATATACATAAATGGTTAAACACAGCTAAAAGACATACAATATCTTACAATATTTTCATCGTTGCAAGCAAATATGATGAGATCAAATGATTCTGGAAATTTCTCTAAAAAGCGTCGTACAGTACCTGAAACAAATAAAACAAAAACCTAACTAAATCATGTTTTCTGTTATTTCAAGTTTAACAAATTCCAGGGAAATTTGCAGAGTAAATAAAGACATGGAAGGAAAGTTAAACGCATCAGAACACAAATACCTGAGAAAATTGATGAATCTAATGGGATGAATTCAAGACAGGTGAAGAAATTAGAGAAATGTCTTAACAACCACTTGTATCATCAATTATATGACAAAGAAGATGGCAATTTACTGGACACATCACGAAGAAAAACAGAAAGAGCATCACAAAACAGGCGCTGAAATGTGAAATAAATGGATTGAGGAATTGACGGCATCCAAGAGAAACCATAAGACAAAAGTTTAAAATGCTAAAGGTGCTGGACTGCATTCCATTCATATACGGAGAGGACTGAATGCAATGCAAGACTGGACTGCCAGCCATTTGAAACATATAACAGCATGACATGATGATGATGATGTATGTTGCAAAAGACCAAACTGAATGTTTCTTAGCAGGAACATATTTTTGATGTCTTCAATATCACTGAATGCTTCGAGGCGGCTCAGTAGCCAGCATGTTTACCTGTCTAACAGCAGCATGTTTACCTGTCTAACAGGTGGTTGTGTTCAAAACCCCACTGAGGTCATTTTAAAAAAAAAGTTTACCTTAAAAGACTGTGCTGTCTAAAGTTGGTGAAGAAATGTTCCCCTCCTCTCTCATCCTCTCTTTCTTTCCCTCCCCTCCCTTCCTCTCCCTCTCTTATCTCTCTCTCTCTCTCTGCATGTCGATGTCCTTGGAAGCGTGTGCATGCAAATCAGCTGTGCTTAAACGTACAGGTTTGTGCACATTAAACGTACAGGTTTGTGCCCATGAATGTCAATGCATGTGTTTTATGTCAAAATAAAGTCTTTATTTTTCTCAACACCCTCGGATAAAAGTGCAGCTATAAAGAGAGTACACCAAAACAGTGTAGGGTTAAATAAATGTTACCAGAAAATTCTGCTTACGTATTGCTATATGGGCTCCCTTTTCTGGAGGATAGCTTCGTCTCAATGTATGAACTGCACCGAGCCCCAGCGTACGGATTTCCAACTCCCTAAAACAGGACACAAACAGTTATCCTTTAAAAAAATAAGTGTATATCAACGCTGAGTAAAATAAAAAAGTAATAGCAGTGTAAAACAAGAGTAAACCAAAACACTTAAATCTGTGAACAAAATATAAAAACACCTAAATCTATGAAAAAATATATTAAGATTTAATTTATGAAAAAGTATATATATCAAAACTTACTTATATGATAAAATATGAAAACAGTGACATCTATAATAAACTATAAAAACACTTAAATCCCTAAGAAAATATAACAACACTGATTAAAAAAAAAAACACTTTATCCTATGACTAAATTTTAAAAAACTTAAATCTACTAGAAAATAAAAACACTTAAGTCTATGACAAAATATAAAATCACTAAAATCTTTGACCTTCAAAAATACATGACAATCTAAAAACAGTTAAATATACAACAATATAAAAACACTGAAATCTATGACAAATGACATTAGTTGAAATCAGCGAAACTTTGTGTCACAAAACTTTTACTGAGTGTTAGAATGTGTGTCTCTATATGATGTTGCTCTGTGTCAACTGTGACAGCTTATGTTATTTACAGAGTGCTGTGATGTGTAGTGTAAAGTGACATGTGCATGTATCTAGGACATAAACAGTCTATGAGAATATAACAATGAACGATAATTTTGGCAATGTGTAAAAGGTGATAGTTGACTTATGTAAGGAATGCCACAGAAAGGCTTATTTATACTGGTAACTGTGAAGGGGGTTTGGGCACAAAGGCGTGAGAGGTTGTGAGGCTCATCATCATCATCATCACATGCCCTGCTGATGGGCGTAGGCGTTCATGCATCTCCACGGATCTTGGTCCTTTGTCCTCTGGATCAGTTCCACCGATGATATCCCTCCGTGCCACCGTTAGTAGTATATAGTATAGTTAGCACTGACCTAGTAGTATACCACCTTTGAGAAGGCGATTAAGAACAAACACAACCCCTTCTCAAGCAACTACACTAGTCAACAGTTTGTAAGATCTGACCTAGTATACCAGCTTTGAGAAGGCGATTAAGAACAAACACAACCCCTTCTCAACCAACTACACTAGTAAGCAATTTGTAAGAGCTAACCACCTTTCTGTAACCCTTCTCAATCCCACCCACGCCAGTCACGCCACTAGACATTTTCTCCCTAATGAGGTCTGCCTCTCTCTTTCTTGTGCTGCCACTGCTGTGTTAGTCCAACTTTACAAGGCTGTGGACTTTCTTAACATGAAAGAGAGAGAAATAGAGAAAGCAGTCATCACAATCACTTATAAAAATCATGTATATTTTGAATATGCTGGCGCATTGACACTTAACACAAACAGCAGACAATATCAGCCCTGATTGCCATCCACATCTGTTTGATCTGGATTGCTAGAAATTTCCACAACATTAAATCTAGCCATTCCAGCGACAGAGTCCGCAAGTCTCTTGATAATCGCTTTATTTATACTCTGGGGACTTTGACGCCCCCTGGAATGAATTGCCAACACAGTTTCATTTAAACTTCCAGGGGATTGAACTGCCCTCACAGTTTCAACCCATACACCCCAGTTATGTCCCCTGATTCTCCACAGAGAAAGGGGGGGGGGGGGTATTTATTCCCCCAGCTGACATGTGTGGTCATTCTGCTGAGTAACAACCGACCTGGCCGCATCGTGATACCAGCTAAGTGAATTTTTTTTATCTATGTAGTTATTGTTTATTTTGTGTGTGCTTATGAAGGCTCCATAGCCGCAACGTTCACGTTTTGTTTGTATTTGTTATATTGTGAAGCTTGCTAATATACTTTTCGTTCGGGTTTATATCTTTTCTTGAAAATAAATACATGACAGCCGGTCTTACCTGCAGATTTGCAAGATGTTTCTATAACAACTGAAGAGTGCACCTTCTGCTGCTGTCACATACTTGATGTTGTAGCGAGGCCCCACCGTGTGGAGAACGTAGCGAGCTGGCAAATTATAGCCTTTGCTGAGTTTGACCTCCCCTGTCCTGCAGGCTGAAATTAGTTGGTGTGAATGAAAATGTTTCTCAGCTAGAGGGTGTTGCTGAATGACTAGACTGAGTGAAGGTTTGAAGTTATAGTCTAACATGAGTTACCATGTCTCCCCAAATATAAGCCTATGTCTTGTATTATTTTGTTCTAAAGATGCCTTAGGGCTTATTTTCAGGGCATGTCTTACCTTTTTTTTTAAATTTTTTTTTTTACAAAAAAATCCATTTATTCAAATATAAAAAATATACATCCATTTAAGCACTAATGTCAATATTATTATTTAATTACACTTATTCATTACTTTATAATTTAAAATGTCAGTTGTGTGTTTCGGCCAACGAACAAAATCGTCCATTGAGCTAATAAGATTAACTTGGACTTATATAGGGAATTCATTAAGATAGGGCTTCTATTTGGGGTAGGGCTTGTATTTGGGGAAGAGGTTGTATCTGAGGTAGAGTTTGTATGTGGAGTAGAGACCATATTTCAAGCATCCGGAAAAAGCACGCAAAAGCATTCTTTTTCAGGATAAGTCCTATTTTCAAGGACAGATGGTTGTGAGTTGGTGCAAGACCAGTTTGTTTTCCTTCTTTATTATCCTGTTGTGCCATTATATGTCCCATAGGGCTCGCAATCTATTCCCTCATTCCGTTCTATCCTGTGCAGTCAGTTCAATATCATAGATGGAATCCACTCCAGCAGCTTTGGCCTCTCCCATCATCATTCATCTTAGGGTTTATTTTTGGTCTCCTCACCTCCTTCAACCATTTTTTCCCTATTTTAATGCCTGTTTGGTGATTCTCTGCTGGTTTCTTCTCAGGGTGAGTCCAGTGCAGCTGCATCTTCTCTGTCTTATAATTCTTGATGCTAGTTGCCTAAACATTTCTATTATTACTTCACTCCTTTTGAATGATTCCCCTTTTTTCATCACTTTCCTGAGATATTTGTTTTTGAATGCATTCAGCTTTCATTCCATAAGTTTGCTTTGTTCCCAACATACTGTGTTACCTTTCCTGTGCAGTTAACAAAGAGAGACAGGCAACACATGGTTTCTACAATACGGTCTAGGCTTTGTACTATGGAGAGGAGGATCTTCACCTCTGATCTTAGCTGGTCTCCTATACTCAAGCTGGTCCTGTTGGTCACACTTGCCATTCCCATGGGCTTTGATTCCCATGCCTCCCTGTAGCACAGTATTACATTAATGTCTAGAAAGACAGAAAGATGCCACCTGAGACAAGCCATACTTGTCAATTCCTCCTTCACCTCTTTATGCCTCCCTAAAGCCCAACACAACAGGTTAGTCTGGGGCGGTGGTCTCCAACCTGTTTCAGGTCACACACACCACTCCCACTCCTCTTTCCTTAAGTAAATGGCAAGACCTCCATGCCCTTCTGATATTTATAATTATAATGAAAATATAATATAATGGATTATTACAAATAGAAATGCACTTGATTTTAAAACTGCCTGATAACGCCCTTTGAATCTCCCCGGTTGGGAGACCGCTGGTCTGATGAGACAGAAAGGTGCCAACAAAGATATGCAACACACTCACTTGTCAATTTCTCCTGCACCTCTTTAAGGAGATCTGGTCCGCCCTCCTTGTAGAGGTGATCACTGAGTGGGTTTCTGTCATTCATGTGTTCATTGGTGGAGTGGGTGATGGCATGAACGTTCAGCTTGGTGATGTCTCCATACCTACAGGGGTAATAATTATTGGTCATTATATTATACTTAGCTCTTTCGGTATCCAGCAAATGTTACTTTGGTCAAGAAAACATTATACTTAGCTCTTTCGGTATCCAGCAAATGTTACTTTGGTCAAGAAAACATTATACTTAGCTCTTTCGGTATCCAGCAAATGTTACTTTGGTCAAGAAAACATTATACTTAGCTCTTTCGGTATTCAGCATCTGTTACTTTGGTCAAGAAAACATTATACTAAACTCTTTCGGTATCCAGCAACTGTTACTTTGGTCCAAAAAAATTTAGCAATCAATATTTTGGACAGTGAACAATTTTGGTCCCAGGAATGTTAACTAGGGCATCAAATGCCAGCAGAAGTCAGATGTGATGGCCGAGTGGCGCAAACATCACAGCCATGTTCTAAATGGGCACAAGGTATGTATATTTTTAGATGAACACAGAAGAAGTGTGAAGCTAAACTATGTAGCAACACTATGGAATGAAAGGAGTTGAAGAAAGAATTTAGGTAAAAGTGGGTTCCTTTACCAGCTGGATTGAAAACAATAAGTTTAAGAAAAGGAAATTTGTCAGATGATAGAAACAAACTCTCTCGTGTGAGTTCGGGGGCCCCATTGTAGGAGAGACAAAAATATTAGACCTAGAGCTAAGGAATAAACATTCTGAGGGAATCAAATAATTATGGGTGTTACTGTGAAGTGGGAGTGCATCTGCTTGAGAGACAAGGAACCAACAGTCTGCATACACATAAGCCAGATCTATCAAATGGATGTGCATGCAAAACTCAACTAGAACAAGATCAAAGTCCAGAAGTCTATGAACAACCAGAATTTGCCACCAGAGTTTACAGCTAGTGAATGCGTGTGAAGAAGAAGAAGGAGGAAATGAAGAAGGTTTAGTTGTGTATGCGTTAGGATAGCCGAGTTGCTTGACACTTCCTTGAGGGACCGGCGTTTTTTGTGTTCAAGTCCACATTGAGTTGGATTTTGTTTTCAACAACCCTGGCTCCCAGGTTGACCCAACCTCAAATGGGTACCAGGTAAAGTCCTGGGAAATAAAGGCAGCCAGTTGACCATTTCAACCATAAAATGCCAACAGGTCTACACAAATATGAGTCTAGCATCATATGCCCAGTGTGCCACTGGTGTAAAAATAATCCTTTCTTCACTTTATTTACCATTCCTAATGATGAATCAAAATCAGTGATGTTTCCATAACTATGCTCAAATTCACAATTTATATTTCCATACAAGAGGATGAAACAAATGTTGAGATGTGACTGTATCAGGAAAGACCATAACCAGATACTAAATAGCAGAGTAGAGAATGGGTGGTAACAGACTTGGAACATTAAAGAAACAGTCATTTATAATGTGGAGAGGAGAAAGGAGGAGTTGCAGGAGATTGCAAAATAATAGGACAGCTTGGTAAAACTGGTTTAGGAAGTTTTATTGAGGGAAAAGGTGCAAAAGAAGAAAGAAGAAAATGTGCATTATTTTATTACCAACCCTTGGGTAGAGGTTTAAAGTAAAGGTTAAAGACCCGAGGATCGACTTCACTGCATGAGGTTTAATCCCATATGGCTCGGTCTCTCTCTACAGAAGTTAGAGATTCAAGCCCTCCATTACAGAATCGTTCTCTGTGTGTCTGTCTACAGTTGTCTCTCCCTCACTGTCGCACTTATGTCTTTCTAAATATCTCTCTCGCTCTCTCCGTTCTCGTTTTGTCCCTTTCACTCTCTGAGTCTCTTTGTTCTGAAACTAAATAAATAACTAAAAAATAAATGGAGCACTGATGAAAGAGGAGCAATAATGAAATAGAAAAATGATAAAATAGAACAAAATCATATGTGCACGCAGTTTTATAAATCATTTATAGTGAAACACGTTAAAACTGACCACAGTGCAATCTTAGAATTTAGGTCATTTCTCCAGGGAAAGGGAGAACTTTCGTGATCTGCTGATGACTCTTTGGGATGTTCTAGTAGTTTGGTAAAATTCCATCGGGTGAGTGAAGAAATGTCGACCACATCATCTCGCTTCCCGAGGGCATCATCCATCATGATCTAAGAAAAAAACCCATAATCCACACAATGATGTTTTGTCCCTTATGTCAGCAATGATCTAAATCAACTCTGTGATATTAAGACAGACATAAAGAAATAAAATTTGAACAAAGAAGACACAAACAATAGATCGCACAATTTATTGCCTGGCATATTTCGCTGTATCTCGTCAGGTGCCTATTACAGTAACAATTATTACATAAATGAAGCAAATAAGTGAATCTTTTATAACTGAAGTACAATTTCACCTGACGAGATACAGCGAAATGTGCCAGGCAATAAATTGTGCAATTTATTGTTTGTGTCTTCTTTGTTCATTCTTATCCTTCACCAGCTGAATAACTCTCAGCCACTGACAAACAACCGAAAAATCAGTTAATTAATCAGGTGTCAAAGGTTGGTTGCAACTGATCTTCAGCAACCTCTGTCTCTCACCCTGGCTGTACATTCTCTGCCCTTCTCTTGGTGCTATTCTCCCACTTGTATCACTATCTACCTCTTGCTTGTCAACCTTATGCCTGTTTGACATACACGTTTATGTCTTTCTAAAATAAAGTTAAGATTTTTTAGGGTGACCATTTGTCTACCCCACCCCCTTTTTTTTTAAATCTAAAAAAACCTCTGCATTTTTTATTTTTTTGTGTGTGTTGGAATGCAGTAGACTATACTGAATATATTACTGAAAAACTCCGGAAAACAAAACAAACTTTTTCTAGCATTCGTGATGTGGTTGTAGAATATTCGGCTCTACTGGCAAATCCGGACGAAGAATAAAAAGCCTTGGATGACTTAGTCAGAGTTCTCTCCCTTGGCCGCACTCCCAACAGTGATCGGAAAAGCCAACGAAACAAAGAAGACAGTCACGTCGACATCAGGGATGCCAATGCTTGGTTGTTTCCCCCAGATCTGGGTTTTTTTTTCGACGCTGCAGGACAAATCTGGGTTGGTTTTTTTTTGGTGTGTTTTGTGTGTTGGTTTTTGCCGATTTGTATGCTTTAATGATCGATAAATTTGCGTGGTTAGGGGAAGGGGTTAGGGTTAGGGAGTAGGATTAGGATTAGGGTTAGCGGTAGGGTTAGGTTTAGCGTTAGATTGGACAATTTTGACGCCGGATTTCCCTATAATCGCGCACAGTCCCATACACACACACAAACAATCGAGGGCCTCTGGATGCTGGTCAAACGCACAATTCGCCAAAGATTGGGGGCACCAGCCGCACGCTATTGGCGTCATATTTGGCAGAGTTTCAGTGGTGCCACTCCCACAAACATCAGATTGTCGGCCAGTATTTCGAAATCCTACGTCAAAATTTTCACATCTAACCCTAACCCTACCCCTAACCCTACCCCTAACTCTAACCCAACAGCATGATGACTACACAACCATTAACGATGCCTCACGCAACCGTACGCAAACCCTGCACGCAACCATATGATGACCACGCATCCCTTCACGATGCCTCACGCAACCGTACGCAGCCCTACACGCAACCGTAGGATGATAGGTAAGTAAGTGTGTCGTTTGTTTCGTTGTGGCTTTTCTGATCACTGTTGGGAGTGCGGCCAAGGGAGAGAACTCTGACTAAGTCGTCCAAGGCTTTTTATTCTTCGTCCGGATTTGCCAGTAGAGCCGAATATTCAAATACTAACTTCATTACTTCATTTCCGATGATCAATTGACATCCTTCGAACTAAAATAGTACTTTTATTACGAACGAAGGTATTTACACTGTCTGACTGCTGTAACTGATACTGCTAAAAGAAGAAGCTAGTAAACAGTTTAGTCCGAGTTGTTATAAAACATGCAATACCTCACTGAATTCCGATCTCAAGTTGTTTATAAGAGAAACGGGATGTAAGAAGTATAACATCTAGATCTATGAGTCTAAAGTGTATTATAGTGATATGACTGGGATAAAACCTTGTTCCAAACAACGCTGACATAAAATTTGTCGTTCAAATAGCGTGAATTTACTTACAAAACCTTGTCGCAGTGACAGACAGATAAGCCCTAACTGAGGGTAACAACTCCCATCCCGACCACCATTTTAACAACAAGATCATGTGACAGTGCGGTGAACGGGACCTCACTCTGGCTGTAGACTCGACTATAGATTTGGTCGGGCGCCCTAGTACAATCGTTTACTTGATATCATGTGGAACATGCGAATTTAAAAGGAGGGGGAAAAAATGATTTTAGGGTGCTGGAATTTGTATGTTCAGTCATATGGGCTTCCTTCCCCCTGTTCCAACCTTACAATTTTTTTTTTTTTTTTTTACAGGAGGCGTATTTGGAGTCCATTCTTAGTAATACAGTAATTACTACTGCTCGAGCCCGGCCGTGTACTATAGTTGCAGTAATTAACAAATATAACTGCTGCTACCACTACTAAAATTACTAACTGATGATGCTGCTGCTGCTAATGATAAGAATAATAATAATAATAAGTGCACGGACACAAAGAAAACATGCAGTGTCGGCCCTCCCCACCACAGCCACATCGTCTTACAAATTGACTGGACAAGGAATGGGGGTTGAACCTGTTAATTAATGAGAATAAATGGAATGAAGTGTGTACGCCAACAAGAACATCATCACCACATACCATCCACGTCATCCACCAGAACATGATAAGAACGTAACGGACAGGTAACATACCAGGAACGGGACATAACTAAAATATTGACACGACCAGACGATATTACAGACATGGTTAGTTGCGTATCCTTTACAGGTCGTTGCAGAACCAACCCCAATAGTCCTTGGCTGTTGTGTGGGTTTTCTAGGCAAGTTTACGTCCAGTAGTTTGCTGTTGCTCTCTGGACGGTCGGCTTTCTTGATACCACTGTCGAAACCAACGCAAGGCGCATGGCCCGCAGCTGGGATCGAACCCGGCATTACGAAGCGATCGCATCGACTTAGCCACAGAGCCGACTATTACCGACATAGCGACACAATAAATAACACGCAAGACATAGAAGTGTGAGTGTCCTTACGGGTGGATGTACACGTTTACGTGAATATTAGTGTATATATGTAGGCACTGGTAGACACATATGAAAGAGTATGCATGTGTACAGAATGTCAAATAGGTATGCATACACGGAAAAGAAAGAAAGGAAGTGCAAACATGAAGTGTTGTCGGCGTTTATGAATGCTCGAGTGCATGTACGCATACAATTAGTTGTGTGCGTCCATATATTCCATAGAATCGTACTCAAAACCATCTCATCCCACATGATACATAAACAGAAACATGACTGGTGGGGCTCACAACAGGATATGACTGACAGCAAATAGGGAAGACAAGTCGATACTGACAGGACTAGAACACTTAACCACTAATTTCACCCCCCCCCCCCCCCCCCCAATCTGTGAGCTCATAGCAAAGGTTGGTGACGTGATACGTATAATCAAAATGAGGTGGGAAAACTGGCGAAAGACAGAGTTTCTGATAAACAGACTGTGATGAGAGCGACGTTCTGCAAAGGACCTGCTACATGATGATGATGATGACATGTATGTCTATACATGTGTGTGTGGGTGTGTATATTGCATACCAGGGCCCTCCCTAACAACCATTATTAGGTACTAGAGTACTGGTCTAAGCCACTAGTTCTAATGCAATTAACATTTAGTGGCCAACATAACTAGTACACACAAAAAACAGACCACAGTTATAACCAATACTACTGGCAGTAGGTTGAACGTGGTCGATTTTTAGTTTTTGTTCTGTTTTTATAAATGAACTGTTCCTCGTCTCTCAGGCAGGTCGTTGCGACTTTACGAGAAACACCCCCCTAATTAGCTGTCCTTTTGAAAAGACAGGGGGCTATCCCCCAAACTGATACATAATACTAAGTATTGTGTGTGTATATATATATATACATAATATATTACTCAGTAATATATATATATATATATATATATATATATATATATATATATATATATATATATATATATATATATATATATATAAGATTACTAAGCGTTTTACCTTCATTTGTGATTCTTTTTGTATAAATATATAACTGAGTTTTCTATGCGCATAATAAAGGGATACAAGGGAAAGAAACAACATTTGTTAACTGTAATTACTTCTATAAGCAATTCATTAATTTATTACCGTAACTATTATTTCGCCATAATCACAATTATTTGTTGTAACAATATTTTAATTCAGCAGCTTGTCTAGTAGGGACGTATGAAAGGGCGTCAGACAGCATTGCTCTTCTGATCCGGTAGCTTCTGCAACATGCTCTGTTTTAAGCGTAGTGGTGTTACCTGTCATTTAGAGTTAACAAGGCGGCCCAGATAGGGATCCAACTGCAATGTCAACACCTGGCCTCTACAATACTGCACAGGCTTTGTTCTATGGACAGCAGAAATTGTATACATGGCCTTTACGCTTTGCCATGAGCTGTTTTTCCCATGCCTCCCCATGCCACAACTAATATAAGACTAACGTCTGGAAAGACGGAAAGGTGACAATAAGCAGGGCTCTCTCTCTCTCTCTCTCTCTCTCTCTCTCTCTCTCTCTCTCTCTCTCTCTCTCTCTCTCTCTCTCTCTCTCTCTCTGGCGGCACACAACGATACCCACTACCGGCACCCTCTAAAGGTATCATGTTTTCAGCGCCACTGTGATAAGTTCTTCATGCTATTTTGAATAAAAGAAATTTAAAAACCCGGTAACAGGTTTCTTAACATTAATGCTCAACATGAGCTGGCTTCTAAATAGACCAGGCCCAGAGGTTCCCCCAGATATCCAGCCTTGAGAAATTGAACTGGATATCAAATATGAGATACCACCTAAAGAGCAAACTAGAAAAGCAATCAATCTTCTCAAGGAAGGAAAGGCGGCAGGTACAGATGGTATCCCACCTGAAGCCAGTACGGCCAACATAAACACATCAACATAATTGCCACATAGATTATTCAGTAAAATCTGGGAGACCGAAGAAATACCAGCAGACTGGAGAGAACGATATCTG